GTACGACATGCTGAAACTCTGAGATCAAGTATAACTACTCTGAGAGCCAATAAATCAGCATTGTGATTAGTGAATATTAATCCGAAACAATAAATGCTTATCGGAAATATGATTGAGCACACTCTGGTCAGATCCGTTGTTATCTCAACCCTTCGTGCCCCACGCTGGGCGCCAAAAGAAACTGTTGTGGTTTAAGCCCAGCCGGCAACTTGGAACCACGCAGCCGCTCACTCACTACCCCACCCATTCCTTCCTCCCCCCACTCCCGGAGGGATGGGGAGGAGAATTGGAGGAATGTAACTCCCACGGGTTAAGATAACAGCTCTCCAGTAACTAAGGTATAATACAAACCACTGCTGCTACCAATAATAATGATAAGAGGAATAACAAGGGGAGAAACATTACTTAGCAACAACTAAAAACATCGGTGTTATCAGCATTGTTCCCAGACTGAAAGTCAAAACCACAGCACTGCACCAGCTACTAAGAAGGAGAAAAAATGACTGCTACAGCTGAACCCAGGACAGTGACTTACGTAGCTGGGGAGGAACAAGCAAGCTGAGGCTGTTACCTCTTGTCCTCAGAGGGTGTGCTCCTGGTCCTGCTCACAGTAGTGGCCTCATGTCCGTGTGCAGTCATCACAGGTCCCTGAGCAGTTCTGCGCAGGGTTGCTGCTCGTAATTGGTGGCAGGCTTTGGTCCCTGTAAGGAGATAAACTGAGCACTTAGCTGGGTGACCCGCCTGCACCCGTTGTCGGTTTGGGTGGGATATGTTTATTCTGCCAGCTTGCTGTTTTAACAGGAGAAGCTTTCAAAAGGTATTGAGTACCTCATCAGTAAGGAGAGCCAGGTGAAAGCTCATATCACGCAGCTGGATCTGCTGCTGAAAGAAACAGAGGTAAGAGCAGCTTGTGATTTTTTTGGGGATGGCCCATGCAGGGACAAGGCAGGGATTCAAATTATGTTTAGTGAAGTGTTTCAGATACTTAGGGATTTTTTTTGGTTAGCCAGGAAAACAATTTCTGAACAGTTCATGCTAGTCCTGAATCCCACATGACCTAATTCTGAGAGTGTGGGATATTTGGACAGCGTACAGAGGGAGGTTAAATTTTGGGTGCTACTGTAAATTTAAGTGAAATAAAGCTTATTTGATTCTTTAAGTAGAGAGAGGTGGGTTAGGCTTAACAGCTTTTGTGTATTCATGGTGCTGCACAATTTACGCTGTCTGTTTGCCTTGAGGATTTTGCAGTGAAGTCATAATTAAGGGCAAAACCTCCCTGAAATAAAATCAGAGCTGGGAGCCCACATGCAGGATGAAAAATGTGATGGCAGAAATTGCAGGAGCTTGTGGCCCTCATTATGTCTTGATAAAGGTTGTCTCCATGCTTTCTGGTTCCCCTTATCCAGGGCATTAGTCAGAGGAGACCCTACAGTTCTTAGGGCATATGTGAGAAACTGGTCTGGACCCCTGGTTCAGGGTGCTTGGGGAAGGTGGAAGAGCATGTAGCTCTCGGACATGAAGACTTCACAGACTAAACTGCTTTTATAGTGCTTTTCCATGAGTTGTTTAGGCAAATGCCATATATAAATCAAGACATACTCAGAGAAGTACTTTCCTGCTCTTTATTCTTTGTGTTAAAATAGTAAATGCTTACTAGCTTGGGTGCAATGCTGATCCCATTTGCATTGCTGAAGAGCATAACAAGGCTTATGAGTCTTGTCTGTCAAATGGATGACTACATTGCTATGATATCTTGAACAAGTATGTTTCTGTACACAGCCACAGGGCTGTGTAATCTAAAGTGTCTTTTGTTCCCTTGTAGTTTAACAGTGAAATAGCTAAACAAGAAGCATTTCAAAGTTTTGAGAAATTATCTCATGTCCTGGAAGAGAAGAAATTTGCAGCTCTTAGGGCAATTGAAGCTTCTAGAAACTTAAGGCTGGAAAAATTGCAAGCACAAGCAGAAGAGTATCAAGGGCTCCTGGAAAATAATGGCCTTGTAGGATATGCTCAAGAAGTGCTTAAAGAAACTGATCCGTCTTGTTTTGTTCAAACAGCAAAACAACTTCATGTCAGGTATCTTAATTACCTTCTGTTTGAAGTACAGATACTGTTCCAGGATGTCTAGTCAGTCATGCTCGTTTGACAGCTGCTAGCAAAGTAGTGAATACAGTACCATGTATTACAGAGGCTCAGGAGATGATCCCAGTACCGTTCAGTAGAAATTACTACCTTAGTGTGTGATAAGGAACAGCATACCAGAGGGGCTCTGTCCTATGAACCCCCAGCCTTGTACTGCAGTGAAGGGCAGCTCATTCAGATCACTGACAGGTTACGTAGAGATTATATTAGGTATTTGCAAGTTAGCCTGACAGGTTTCTTCTGGCTTTAAGCTCTTTGATCTTAATAGTCATTCTCCAATTAGTGCTTCACACCTATTTTGTTCTTCTTGTTCTTCGAATATAATGACCCAGACTGTTAAAAAGCTCTGCCAGCTGAAGGAGATTACCTGTTTATTATCTTTACACTGATGCACAAAAGGCCTTTAAATTTTGCGTTTGAATTCTGTCCAGAGAGACAGACCTTTCTGAGTGACTTGAAAACATGTACATGAAAACAGACCTTTTTTTTTTTTTTTTTTTCATTTTTAAGCAAACCCCGAGTATTTTTACTTCAGGGAATGCACACGTGTGAATTCCCTTTTCTCTCTTCTGCCATTCCTCTGTTTCTGTGCTTTCAGAATCGAAAAAGCTACTGACTCTCTGAAGAGTTTCAGGCCAGCAGCTGAAAGTACTTTTGAAGACTTTGTGGTGGACATAGCCAAGCAGGAAGAGACCCTTGGTGACTTGACCTTCCATTCCAATGGTAAATTGCAAGAGCCTCAGGTTTTTCTCAACTTACGGCTTTAAGGACTTCTCTGGAAAGAGGCAAAACCTATGCAAGGCTGCAGTTGCAGAACTCAGTATTGTAACTTGCATTGTGCCTTCTGTACCTGTGACCCACAAGGCAGGAATG